AATATAGTAGCTCAAATGTTGACTAGAATATGATATATCTTCAGGTGTTCTGTAAATGGACTTTATTTTTAATTTTGAAACTAGCCCATTGTGTCTGTGTAGGCATTTCAATGGCCTTCTTTGGGGCAATTTGCAATTATGTCACTCCAGCAAATGAATGAGTCTTTTAACTTCACAGGATTCTGCTGCAAAGATTTTGTTGTTGATGGGAATATATTGAAAGAATTTCCTCTTATTTATCAAGAAGCAAAGCATTGGGGGGGACGGACAATGACAGTATCTCGAGGACCAAGGAGAGACAGCCTGTCAGCGATCTGAAAGAAACAAGGAAGGGACAATTATATTGTCTACAGCCAAGCGGGTTGCATTAGCATATTGGCATTTCAATGCGAGCTTTTATCTGTGCCTCAATTGTTAATTAAAAGTAATTTCAGTTGGCCATTCCAATCTCTATCTGTGTGTTTTTCATCGGTTACTCCATTGTTATCTATGGCCCTGGATTTCACCATTCCCTCCCATTCCCCTCCACCCTGCACAGTTTTTGGGTATCATTCTTCATGGGCGAGAAGAAGCTGAAGGAATGGGCATGAGGGGCACACACGTAGCCCCCTTGTCTCCCAGGAGCATTTGTGCGATTTGAGGCACCGCATCAAGCAGATAACAACGGGCAAATGGAAAGCAGAAGAAAAGTGAGATTACAACACAAAACAAAATAACACCAAGGATACGAATCACAGCCAAGTGCACGGCTCAGATAATACCCCCTTCAGCTCCCATGACATGCCACAGGGATAGATTGAATTCTTTTTGCAAAACAATATACATATAGGCCCCCTCATACACACACAGATATCTTTCAGTACCAAATACACGCGCACATATTTTTAAATACCAAAGTCAGGTTCCTCCACAGCATAGTATTTTCAGTTTTTATGTATGGATGTGAAAGCTGAAGAAAGATGGGAGGAAGGAAAGCAACTCATTTGAAACACAGTGATGGAGGAGACTTCTACGGATACCGTGCACTGCTTAAAAGACAAAGACTGCATATACTCATGTATAAGTCTAGAAATGTTAGGCAAAATATTAATACAAAAAAACCTGGGCTGACTTATCAAGGTAGTTACTGTACTTTAACTCTTATTTATATAAAAGGAACCATCCCCTTCTTTGAGTAGAATGGTGAAAGGTGAGAACTTAGCTCATCCCAGGAGAAACTAAGGAGATTATTGCATTAGGTTATAAACTGGTTTACCTGAGCTGGCTTAAAATTAGAAGCAGGCGACATCCTGATAGTATCCAAAATCGCCAACCGGGTACAGCCTGGCTCCATCACTGCTCCAAGGGGTGCTCCTCGCACCTCTTTTCAAAGCCAGGAGTTTTCTGGCTTGAAAAAAATGGCCACTGGAGCACCCCTCTGAGTGGCGATGGAGTTGGGCTGCACCTAGGTGGTGATTTTGGCAGCTAAATGCATCTGATACTATCAGGATGCCATCCACTTCTCATTTTAAGCTGGCTCAAGTAAGCCGATTTATAACCTAATGCGATAATCTTCTAAAAGAAGCACCAACTTCCTCTCTTCTCTCTGCCTTGGTGCTATTTCTGGCCTTTTTGAATGCTTGGAAGAGAAAATAGTTGTGCTGTTGGCAGCTTTTTGGAGCTTTCCCTCAAATGAGCACCGAGAGAGTAGAAGGGGTCAGTGCTTATTTTAGGTTCTCCCAAGATGGACTAAGCTCTCAACTTTTGGCACTCTACTCAGAGAAGGGGATGGTTCCTTTTTCTGATGAGAATGAATATTGTACCTTAACTCTTGCCTTTACATCCTTTATTACATACGTGCATTTTCTTAGCTCCACCTGCATCTGGTCACCTCCCCAACACCACATTACACAGCCAACATTTATCCTTCCTCATCCATCCAGCCTTCAGGATGAGCAAAAACAGTTATGCCTGCCAGAATTATGTAAACTTATTGGCAGCATTTTCCTTTGCTTCATCTTTTACAACCTTTGTGGCATACCCCTCAGAATATCCATGAGTCAAATCAAAATCTGTAATTTTTCCCCTCCCCCCAACCTGTCTGTGACTTATACATCAGGTTGACTGATTCATGAGTATATATGGAAAATGGGTCCTAGAGCAATCAAGCCTGAACTCTCTGGAAGCAAAGATGATAAACTCAGGGCCGATGCAGACAACCCCTAAGGGGTGGCTCCGTGCAGCCCCTGGGAGTGCCAGATTGGGGCCGTGGCAACCAATCCAGATTTTTGCCACTCCCAAAAGAGCTGGCAAATGCCGCTCCTTTTTTGAGCAGCAAAAAGCAATCCATAGAGCCGCTGCTGTGGCTCTTTTGCTCCCCTTTGGCTCAGTGTGTCTATGCTGTGCCAATGGGGCACCCTGACACCACGCGGGGTGTGGTTGAGCACGCGGTGCGATGGCAGCATCAGGGCAGAGTTGGGGTGGCTGGCATGCAGTTGCCCAACCCCAACTCCACCCTCAGGCCAGCACATGTGTCATTGGAAAAAAGATGATAATGCTATGTAAAGTGGAAGGCAATAGGAAAAGAAGAAGACCATATTACAGATGGATTGATTTGGTCAAGGAAGCCTTAGCTGTCCTAAGTTTGCAAGACGTAAGTCGGGCAGAATTTGGCATCACTTGATAACACTGTCCATACCACAAGATTTTGTGGCAGTAAAAATCTCCAAATGTATGTCTTCTAAATATGCTTCCAAATGTTGCAAGTGTTAATCAACATTATTGCAGCCTGTAATAATGCCTCGTTATGCTTTTCCACCAAATACAAACCCCAATACAGTTGTATTACAGCAGGGGTCCCTAAACTATGGCCCGCAGGCCGGACCCGGCCTGTTGAGGACTTCTTACCAGCCCGTGGCCGGTCCTGCCACCGTTGCTCCTCCCGTGTGCCGCCGGGAGCCATTTTGTCTTCCAAATGGCATCCGGAGTCGTGTGCACGCGCCTCGTGTTGCACGTGCATGCGCACAACTCCGGGCACCATTTTGGAAGACAAAATGGCACTGGAATAGTGCGCATGCGCATGTGACGCAGGGTGCCATTTTGCCTTCCAAAATGGCATCGGGAGTTGTGTGCATGCGCCCGGCATTGCATGCGCATGCACACGACTCTGGGCTCCATTTTGGAAGACAAAATGGCACCCAAATTGTGCACATGTGCACGTGCACATCCGCGCACACCTCCCTCCCCCCGAAGATCTGGGGGCCGGCGAACCAGCCCCCAGATCAAAAAGTGTGGGGACCCCTGTATTAGAGCTTTCACTCTTCTTATTTCCACCCAAGACCAATATATGTGAAGACATTCCTTAGAAATCTTAAGACTGGTTCTAATTCCAGAGCTAAAAAGACTGTTCCTCTTATCTCCAGAATTTTAACATTTCTTTAACAAGACACAGCCAAAATTATGCAGATAGATTTCCCTCTGCTATTTTTTAAAACAATCTTCAAGCAAAAACATACCCAAAATTAGCAAAGCAATTGCCAAGCGCTAAAGCCTTTTTAAAAAGCAATAAAATAGGATTAGGTTTATTTATGGCTGACTCTCCCATCTGCTGATTTAAAACTGAAATATTAGGCAATGTTTTCCTTTGAGTCTTAGGTCAGCCATCATGAATTCTTGAAATTCTCGTTGCATTTTGCACAAGTACAAATGCCTTCCATACAAAAATCTTTATGAACTTTTAACTACGTGTAAAAACCTATCAAGAAATAAATGTTCAAAAACTCATAATTGCACCCTCCCTGGAGAAAAAAAGAATTGAAATCTTTTATTCTTATGTGCAAGTGCAAAAGAAGCAGAGATAGATGCTCCTAATTTTATGAATCAGTGCAAATATAGAAGCACCACTTTAATTTAAATAGAAATAAATTTCATCTTAGTGGGGGAAACTAATCAGGACACCTGTGTGCCTGCCCACTCTTTTTGTTGCATCAGTGCTAATAGATGCATCAGACTCCTCCTTCTGAGGGTATTTGCATACATTTGCATTCCTCTACATACAGTGAATCTCATCATGTTAGGAAAATTCAAAGGACTAGGAAAAAAAAAAAAAAAGGAAAGGAAACATAGTACTTCTTCTTAGTAAGAATCATACAACCATAGAATTGGAAGTGATCCCAAGATTTACCAGTGGTGAATCTGCAAATGCATCTACTATTTCCACAATCCCAGGAAATCAGGTTGTATATTGAAGGTACTGATAGCTAGTTATGCATCATTTGAGACTTTACAACTGCATGTGCAAACTATTGCAGAACCCTGCTTTGGCAATTGTGACATGAAAGAGGACATTACACCATGGCCAAAAAAAGTACAGTTACGTTTGTAGGAGATATGTGTGGACAAAAAACCACCAGGAGTGCCCCCCCCCTCCAGAGCTAGACACCTCTATTTACATTGAAAATAGAATTCATACCCATGATAGTCTGAAATATCAGTGTGTAAAGAGATCTTGTAGTACTCATATTGAGGATGGAGCAAGCTTGTTTTCTGCTGCCCCAGAGACTAGGACATGGAGTAATGGATGCAAATTACAGGAAAAGAGATTCCATTTCAACATTTGGAAAAACTTCCTGATGGTAAGAGCTGTCTGACAGTAAAAGATGCTGCCTCTGTTGAACTGGATGGCCCTTGGGGTCTCCTCCAACTCTATGATTGTATGATTCAAGTGACTCCTGGAGAGCTCATGGAGGCCTGAATTGGAAATTGCTGCTGGTTCTAAAAGCACTTCCCTGTCAAGGTATAGAATCACCTACTCAGTGGTTCCTAGCCTTTAGTCCTCAAGATGTTTTGGACTTCAGCTCCCATAATTTCTGATTGTTGGCTGGGGCTTTTGGGATTGAGCACCAAAAGTTGGGAACCAATGAGTCCTACTTGGAAACTTTTCAACTGGCTTAAATAAGGAACATGAACAAATAGTAAGGCTGTCTCAGCAATTCACGTTCCCTGCAATCCAGAGAAATATAGATAGGATGGTGCAGTGGTTTGAACATTGGACTACGACTCTGGAGACTGGGGTTCAAATCCCCATTCAGCTATGGAAACCCGCTGGGTGACCTTGAGCAAGTCACATTCTCTCAGCCTCAGAGGGAGGCAAAGGCAAAGCCGCTCATAACAAATCTTGCCAGGGAAAACTTGTGATAGGGTTGCCACGAGCTGGAAATGCCTTGAAAGCACACAATAAATAGTTTAATGGAATATAATTTTAAAAAGTGCAGCTTGATTGTAGTGTCTGGGCTACATTTAATTTGCTAAAGTGATTTTTTTAAAAATGTGCTGAACAGCAATTGAGAAATCTTGGGAAAGTTAAATCCTTGCTTTCTTTAAGTTTTCTTTAATTTATTGAGGGTGATAGTGGAGCGTTAAGTGAATTAATTGATGGCTTTGTACTTTTATGAATACATCAAAATAATATTTCTTCATTATGCTTGGGTGGCAGCAAGTATATAAATTGATAGGCCTGCACTATAATTAATTTTTGTACATGCGCATGTCTGTGAGTGTGTGTGCATTTGGTGTCTCTAAGGAGAGGAGATGAATTAAATGTGCTCTTTTATTCCTGTATTAAAGAGATATTTTAGGCTTTGTTTGTGGTGTATATATTGATTAATAGAGTCCCTTTTAAAAAGAAGAAGAGGGTGTTGCATATCTTGAAGTTTAGTTGGACCAAATCCCAAGAAACTCTTCTAGAACATGGCCACACAGCCCGAAAAACCCACAAAAAACAATGGGATTAATTAGTTATAAAATAGTGCATTGTGCTAGGATGCGGTCCTGTCTCATCATGGGTTTCATCATCTATTCTGTGAGAAAGCAAAGACAAAGGGACATGAGTTGAGGCCACAAGGAGGAGGTGTGTGTGTATGTGTTGCATGCCTTCAAGTCGTTTCCAACTTATGATGACCCTAAGGCAGAGGTCGGCAACCTAAGGCCTGTGGGCCGGGTGCAGCCCAGGGAGGCCTTCAGACCAGCCCTTGCCCAGTCCTGCTGCCGCCACTGCAGCCACCTTTCGCAGCTGCAGGGGTCCTCCGGGGCGCCATTTTGAATCCAAAATGGCACCCCGGAGGACCCTCGCGGCCAAGCTGGGCCTCTTGGAGGCCCAGCACGGTCGAGGGAACCTTCCTGGGCGGCCCCCGCAGCAGCGCTGAGCCTCTCGGAAGCCCAGCACAGTCGAGGGGGCCCTCCTGGGGGACCCCCGTGGCCGAAAAATGGCGCCCCGCTACCCAGCGCAATTCCCCCCCCCACTCCTGGCCCACTGGCAAAAAAAGTTGCCAACCCCTGCCCTAAGGCAACCTTATCACAGGGATTTCTTAGCAAGTTTCTTCAGAGGGAGTTTGCCATTGTCATCCTCAGAGGCTGAGAAAATATGTAACTTGCCCACGTTCACCAGTGGGTTTACATGGCTAAGCAGGAAACCCTGGTCTCCAGGCTCCTAGTCCAACACTCAAACCACTAACTGTATCTGAAAGACCGTCTCTCATTCTGGGAGCATGCTCTACAACTCTCAAACCACTATGCCATGCTGGCTCTCACAAGGAGGAGGACAACAAAGTACATTTCATGCAAAGGGGCTGGTGATTTCTATGTCATTGACATATATATAAGAA